CCTGAAGTTCCTGTGCACCACTGCCTGGCCTCAGTACGAGTTAGATAATAACTCTGTTTGGCCAGACACTGGAACCTTAAACTTCAATATTTTGAGAGATTTAAAATTTTTCTGCCATTGTAAAGGTTAATGGTCTAAATTACCATACAGCCAAGCTTCCTTTGGTCTCTGTGCTAATCCCTCCTTCTGGGTCCCATGTTCTTCCCATCAGGTTCTTCTGGATAAGACAGTTTCACGGGATTCCAACCCACCAGGGGCCTCTGCCCCTCCCCCTACCCCCTACCCCTCCACCTCAGCTTTTGATCCTGCCATAGCCGATGAACTGCCTCCAATTAGGAGCCATCCCCAACCTCCTCCTGCTCCCCAGCCTGAGGCACAGCCAAGTCCTCCCCATGCTCTCCCCTTGCTATACTCTCCCTTGCCTCCCTCCCATTCCAGGGCCCAACACATCTCACCTCCTTTCTCCAACTGGAACTCCCTCTCCACGCCACAGTCTTCCCCATCTCCGGCGCCGCTCTAAGTCCATCACCTGCTCTCTGTCCACTAACTCTCCTCTACTTGAGGAAATCCAAAACCTTAAACACCTCCTTGCCAAATATTCCTTAGTCCCCCCATTCTGGCTTCTAGCTCAAATAACCCATTTATCCCTCCTGTATCTACTTCCACTTTGATTCCAGACCCTGCCTCCAATACCCCTGCCCCTGCATCCCCTCATGGACAGGATACCCCTCCCATCTCTCCTACTCTGGCCTCCTCCCAGGACTCCCCTTCTCCAAACCCCTCTCCTATGTCAAGACATACTCACTCCCACACACAGTCTCAACCCCCTGCCCATGGTATCTTTCCCCTCTGGGAGGTGGCAAGCATGGATGGGATGGTCAAGGTCCATGTCTCTTTCTCTCTTGGAGATCTATCTCACCTCAAATGCAAAATAGACTCTTTTTCTACTGATCCTACACACTTCATACAAGATTTTAAATACATCATTCTCACCTATGATCTAACCTGGACTGTACTGCCCCACGTGTTCTAAGATATCCCTCACCACTTTGGACAAGCCCAGCCCGGGATTTAACCTCCCTAGACCTTAACCCTCCACCATCCCACAGTATGTAGATGACCTACTTCTTTGCTGTCCATCTCTCTCAGTCTCCAAGGCCCACACAATCAAACTCCTTAATTTTCTGGGGGACAAGGGATATAGGGTATCTCCAGCTAAGACTCCCCATTCTCTCCCTCAAGTCAAGTACTTGGGGTTCCTTCTCACACCTACATCCCACTGTTTAACTATAGATAGCACAAATTACCTAAGGTCTTTAAAGCCCCCCACAACAAAGGAGAAAATTCTATCTTTCCCAGACATTGCAGGGTACCTGTGCACCTGGATTCCTAACTTTGCCGTCTTTACAAAGCCTCTCCATGAAGCCTCCAAAGAAAACTCCCCTGAGCCTGTTGACCCCTTAGGGCCTCTTACAACAACATTCCACACTATCCGGGAAGTGCTCTTAAAGGCACTAGCTCTGACTCTCCCCAACCTGGAATGTCCATTTCTTCTCTACACAACTAAAAATAAGGACCAGGCATTAGGGATTTTGGGAGAGATGAGGGGGTCCCACTTTTGCCCCAATAGCTTATCTCTAAACAGCTTAATACCACCATCTGGGACTGGCAACCTTGTCTCTGTGCTCTGGCCGCTGCCACTCTCCTGGCTCCAGAGGGACTTAAGCTTTGGGTCCACCCATCTCTGTCCTTTCCCCCCACCAGCTTAAGTAACCCACAAGTCTCTTGCCAATCTAGCTCCCTCTAAATTACTCTTCCATGTCACGTTTCTTAAAAACTCCTTGGTCACCCTTGATTCCTGCCCTCCTCTCAATCCAGCTTCCCATCTCCCTTCCAGTGAACCGCTCACCCACTCACTTGTGCTTGGAAACTCTTCAGGAACTCTCCTACCATGATCCCCAAATTTCCCAGATCTCCTACCAAACCCCACCCTGACTTGGTTTATGGATAGAAGTTTAACTCTCACCCCAACAGTGTCCCACAGGCCATAGTATCTCTCACAGATGTCATTGAGTCAGGACTTCTACCACTTGGAACCACGTCACAAAAAGCCAAACTTGTGACACTCACCAGGGCCCTAATTTTAGCCAAGGACGACCACTTCCTCCAACATCCCTCCCCTCTACACGACTATTTACCTGCCTTCACCCTTCTAAGGAAACTATTCAGGAACATGCTGACAGGATTATTCCCCAGGCTTCTAAAGGCCAAACTCACCACCCACTTCAACCTGGAGATCACGCCTACCTGCGGGTTCACACCCAACAAAAAAGAGTAAAGGAAACCCTCCAGCTGCATTGGTCCTCACCTGGTGAGCCTGTCTACCCCGACTGCAGCCAAGCTCTCAGGACAACCTGGATGGATTCACCTCTCCAAATTAAAACTAGCCAAGGAACACAGCAAGTACCAGGCCCCCAGTATTGGGTCTCTTAAATAAAAATTTCAAGGACCCCTCTCTTAACACCAATCCAGGGAAGAGTTTTCTATTGACCCTATGTCTATTCTTCCCTCTGAACCCCACCTCAGCCATTCCCCACCACACCTACTCACTGTGTTTCTATAAATTTAAAATGAGACAAAGTTAATACATGGATAATCTTAAAATTTCTAAGGTTGCAGCTTAGTCAACTAGTCTAAGGGTGTCTAGTCAAGGTTTATTTAAGGATGTTGCCCAAGTTCTATCTACACAGCACATGGTAATTAATGTACCAGGCTGGTGTAACTAATCATGTTGGATGTTTAATAGCCAGACTCTAAGGCCTGTATTAATCAGGTCAGAGAGACTTAAAGGGACAAATTTTTGTTCCTTGCGCTCCAAGGTCAAGCAAGTTCCAGGGGCTATGGAGCATCTCTTGAAATATCCTGTAACTTTGGGGAGTCACCTGTCCTCTTGTTCAGGGAGGCCATGGAGACCCCAGAAGATGGACTTGAACCAGTGTCCAGTCTGCAAAGAGGAGGGTCAACACAGAGGAAACATTTTCTCCATGCTTCCAAGCAAAGCCCCGGTCAAGCAGGACCTCTAGACTTATCTTCACATAGATGGAACTGGTAAAAGAAAAGCCTGAGGAGCCAGGGGCTCCCCCTAAGCCCATGTGACCCCCGAGGTCCAAATCCTCATACGACCTTAAGAGTAAAAATAAATTGGTTTATTTGAGCCAACAGTATGGTCTTAAACACCCAAAAGGAAAGTATAGCCAAAAAGTCATCAGTATATTTTAAGAGTTCAAGGGATTACACAACCCAGACATTAGACGTAAGTTCTTATGTTATTTAGACAATTGTCTCTCACTGATAATTTTGTTCCTAATAAGACAATGTTACTCAGATGTAAGACTTCAAATCTTGGTCTACAATACTGTAGTGCCCACTTACAGCTAAGGGAGGCAACCCACTATTGTTCTAGTCTAAAAAATTAAATGATGGCTAAGTTTGTTTTCTCTCCCTATCTAGAAGCCTTTGAGAGGTAACTGACACTGAGTCTAGCCACTCCATTTGAAAACAAATCCTGAGTCCATCACTCTCGAGTTCACCCCTGGCAGAAAAGAAAAAAAAAATAAAAATGAGCTATTACCTTGGTGCTAACCATTGCCCCTTGCCTCTTCAGATATTTTCAGGACCAAATCCAAAAACTAACTCTTACTAATTTTAATCAGTTGTTATTTTCCTTCCCTCCAACCTGTCAACCACTGAACCATCGAGGATCCTGCTGAGATGCATGAAGAGGGAACCCCCGCTGTCTGACCAACCCCTAATCCAGCCACCCCCATGTCGACCCTGTGCAGCAGGAAGTAGCAAGACGACAACAGTGTCCCCTATCCCATAACACAAAAGGCTGGAATGTTAAGGTTCAGATAGTCCTGCCCCCTCACCAACAGGATCCCAAGGACTTCCCATGCTCCTGAGAAAAGGGAACCTAGCTGATAGCACCTTGGTCTTTGAAGTCAAGAGAAGCAGACTTTTCTCCACTGTTTGGCCAGCACAGCAGGCTTCCCCTTTGACCTCTAAAGAAGACAGGTTTTAACAGTCCCGCTCTCCCAGTCCCCCCGCCAAACTTTAAAAAAAAATACATCTTCCCACCTTCTGCAGGAAGCAGAAGCCTCCCTTTTAAAAGACCCCAGCTCACGACCCGGGCAGACATTTTTCCTGCAGAAGGGAATCTGTCCCATGTGTTCCTTTGCTAATAAACTCTATTCCGATGGAGTTTTATCTGTGTTCTGGTGCTTTCTCCCAATCAACCAGATTCATCCATCAGCTATTTTACCTATCAGTTCTGACAACCAACCAACCACCCAGCACTGGTAAGACTCATCTCTTCTTTCAAGAAAAGTGCTTCTCTTTGCAGGACGTCTGCTGTTTTTAGACACAGCCAGGCAGGGTAAAGTCTGAGCCAGCCCTCTGCTCTCCCTCATGAACACAAAGATAAATCAGTCCCTGCCCACCACAGCACCATGCGGGCACTTCATGAAACCTCGCTGAATTGGGACCTCTGTCACCAACAACAGTCATGAACTACAACAGTTGAGTGACCTAAGGCTCATCCCCTATCCTTTGACATCTGCCACCACCAGCTGCCCAGGGAAGCTCTCACAGAAGCACAGAATCACCCGGCACAGACGCTCAGCCACTGTCAGGCAAATGCCCTTTCCCACAGAGGCCGGGAGCACAGCAGGAGCTACTCACCAGCCAAGTCCCTGAGTCCCCATGATGGTCTGAATGACGGTCCTCTGGGTTTCTCTTGCTAGGACTCTGAGGGTTTCAGCCCAGAGGTACTTCCAGCCTTAACCACAAACAACCAAAACTTCTCAGGCTTACGCTACCTCCTTAGGGGGCCCTGGGTCACCTAAGCTCTCTGGCCCTGATAGCAAGGACATGGAGGCACTCCAAGCTCAGCTTCACCTCACCCCCAATCCCCCCACCCTCCACCCCCCACCCCCACTCACCAGGATCAGGTTCCAAGGAGACTCTGCAAGGCAGTACTGGCTTCTGGAGGAAGCATCAGAGAGCAGTCTCAAACCTGGGCTCCATGGAGAGCAGTCAGCAGGACAAGACAGGCTCTTAGTGAACCAGAGACAATGGAGAGTGAAGACCAAGCACACTAGGTGGGTCTTGTCCTAAGAGACAAAAAGAAGGTTGAGATCCTCGGATCGGACAGAAAAGTCAATGGGGACATGTACAGGCCAAAGCCGAATGGCGGGTGGCAGTGGCTGTCACTCTGCCCTGTGGCCCAGTAGGGGCCATGTGCAGTGTCTAGACACTCCGGAGCCTGCAGTGGGCATCTTGCATGCCCTAAAGGGACACTAAGATTTCAGGCCTTTGGAGGGAGGGAGCCAAATGGACTTCCACTCCACAAAGATCCTGGCTCACAGAGGCTGACTTGTGCCAAACACCAAGTATCTTCCTGGGCACACAGCTGCCACAGGAACAGGATATACCCAGAGCTGCCCTCACAGCAGGGCAGGGAGAGGAGAACAGAACATACATAGAGTCTTCGTGAGAGAGCGCGTTATAAACCTGCATCCTCATCTGAAAAACGCAGACAACAGATTTTACTCCACAGTAACAGGAGAGTCAGGGTAGCCAGGCTGTTTAAAGTGCTCAGTGGTACAGGAGCAGAGAGTTCTCTGAAGTCGGCCATGTCCTGCCCCTCCTCAGCACCCTTCTCCTTTGCTCACACAGCCCAGAGCCACTGCTAGCCGATTCCCACAGCTAGAGACACAAGGCCATACTGGGCATGCAGACCAGACAGCAGGCCCAAACCCTTCTTTACACACAGAGGCTTGGTTCCCTCTGCCCTCTGCAGTGAAGACCCGAGGGCCCAGAAGAGCCTTGTGCCTTGTTGCACACCCCACAAAGCACAAGAACTAGAGCTCTGCTCCACAGAGCACCAAGCGACACAACGGAGGGGCCTCTGGGCAGCTGTGCCTGCGCCAACACTCTGAATTTCGGCCCCTTCCCTGCCTGGCTGGTAACAAACTGAACTCCACGCTTAGACCCTGGCAAGTAGTCCTGCTGTGCTCAGAACACACCACACTTCCTGTGTGTTCACTTCCCACCCCCAACACACACACACACACACACACACACACACACACCCTTTCTTCCCATGATTCCCCCAGGTGCTAATCCTGGATGTCACCAAATCCCTCCACTTCCTGATAGTTTGGGCTGTTAGGTTACAACACTCACCATGGTGTCCCCTAGACCCCTTGGACAGTGAGAGGCCCTGGGCCTCACAATATTCTCCTACCCCTGAGGCTTTCCAAATGTCCAGTTTCCAGCACTCCACACCAGACCCTATCCCTGTATTTCGTCATCCGCTCAGTACTGGTGACAGCTAATAGACAGGCTGTGGCCCAGGGCCATCTGTAGGTTGGCTCCTGTCCTGCCTCCCTGAGAGTTAAGACTCAGTGTGTGGACACCAAGCTGACCCCCAGAGGCTCTTCTCCCAGCTGTTTCCTGGCCCTTGGTTGTGAACAGAGTCTGAGTTCTGGTCCCCACACTGAGGTGCACCGTGCTTAGCTCACAGGCTTCTTTCTATAGAGCTGTGACTGACCAGGCACGACACTTGCACTGGCCCAGTCACTCCTCAGCCATGCCCCCCACCCCCGCCCCCACTGCCGGCCTGGGTGGAGCCTGACTTTAGTGTATTCAGTTTTGTTTGGTGCAGAGCACTGGCCTGCAGCAATGTAACTCAGCACAAGTGAATGCCCACGGAGCAGATGCTCCAGCATGTGTGTGCACCGTGGAAGCCGTGGAAGGCGGCTGCTTACGGTCCAGTCGGCCAAAGCTGCCGTGAACATCTATGGCACTTCAATTTGAGAACAAAGGAGGGTTTTGGGCCATATAGTTAGGCAGCTTCCAGGAAGTCATGGTCATCACCAGAAAAGGCATGAAACTGGTACCTGGTTATGACAATCCTAATTGTATTTGAGGGAGGAGTAAGACAGAGCCTCACTCCGTAGCCCACACAGATCTAGAACACATGATCTTCCTGCTACAGCCTCCTAGGTGCTAAGATAACAGATGTTCTCTACTGATGAGAGGAGGGTATATTATCTAACTTTATAATTTTTTTTTTTTTGGTATTTTTGAGACAGGGTTTCCCTGTAGCCCCAGCTGGCCTGAACTCACTATGTAGACCAGGCTGGCCTTGAACTCACAGAGATCCGCCTGCCTCTGCCTCCAGAGTGCTGGGATTAAAGGTGTGAGCCACCACACCTGGTATAATCATCTTAAGTTTAGATTATTTTGCAGTTTCCTTTGTTTTACTTAACTAGGTAGGTACCTTGAAATTATAGCCCTAGGATGCTCAAAGATGTTTTATGACTCTATAAAGTCTCGAAGCTCTGTGATGGTTAGCACTCACTATGTCCTAGTATTGATATGAATGTAAGTTAAGGGTATGGAAAGTTCACAAAATGGTTTAGTAAGGCACCTGGTCTGAGAAAGGTATAGATCAAACATGTCAGAAATGTAAGCATCTACTGATGATATCTGATTTTATAAACTGATAAATGCCTGTCTGACCAGGTTCCAGTCCAATTAGCCTAGCCAAGTTGTAGATCAAAAGGCAGGAGATGTCCTGACCCAAGCCTGGGATATCTATATTAAAAACAATGTTGGCAGAGTGAACTCAGGAAGGAATTTCCTAACATGGCCCATCATGAAGAGAAACACAGGGCTCAAGTTTTATCCTGGTTTGTCTCTCCATTGCTGTGACAAAACACTCCGACAATACCAACTTCGGGAGGAAAAGGTTTATTTAACTCACATATTCTGGGTCACAGTTCATCAGGGAGCCCAAGATAAGAACTCAGGGCAGGAACCTGGAGGCAGGAGCTGGAGCACAGGCCATGGAGGAATGTTGCTTACTGGCTTGCTCCCCTGACCCCCTGTTCAACCTGCTTTCTTATGCAACACAGGCCCACCTGCCCAGGGGTGGCACCACCCACAGTGGGCTGGGCCCTCCCACATCACTCATCAATCAAGAAGATGCCCCACAGACGTGGCCACAGGCCAGTCCTATGGAGTCCCAGGGGTGGCACCACCCACAGTGGGCTGGGCCTCCCACATCACTCATCAATCAAGAAGATGCCCCTCAGACGTGGCCACAGGCCAGTCCTATGGAGGCAATGCCTCAAGTGAGGCTCCCTCGACCCAGATGAATCAAGTTGACACTCAAGCTGTCCAGCACAGGTGCTAATCATAAAATGACATAAAATTAACTATAAAACCCTAATCTGTACCACAGATCAGGGTCCCAGAATCTAATAGCTGCCTGCTGCTTCTGGGGCCTCATGCATGAGCAGGAACCACCGAGCTCCTGACTCTGTCCTGGGTGTGTGCTTGGTGTCTTAGCTGCTTGAGGATCGTTCTATAATGTTACCACGCCTGGTTCAAATTTGTGGTTTGTGATGGTTGTTAATGTTACTGTTGCTGCTTAAATAAAAGTGGGTCTCACCACACTCTTGGCCATATTTTTGGCCCAGAAAGTTAAACTGTCTACCACAAGCTGGAACTCTGACCTGAACTGTGAACCTGAATTCTGAACAAAGGGATCTGTTTTGTCGACAGCACCTGCCAGGCAGACGTTTTCTGGGTCGTATGAAAAAAGGTAAGGGGCCACCTGAGCCAGGCTTGACCACTGTGGATGAGCCCGTGGCTCATGATCCTTCACTAAAGGGCTCTAGGAATAACACAGCACCCCAAAGGAGGAGGGCCCAGGAACAGAAGAGAGGGCCCACCCCAAGGTCACACAGCAGTCCCAGCTGTGGCCTCAGTCCTGATGACCCAGGACCCACTGCTTGGCTGAACTGTGTGATAAACTTCGGCTCTCCCAAAGCAAGAGGCCATGCCCACATGCCCAGTTCCTGTCAGCAAGCACCTCTGGATGGCTGCCAGCTGGTCTCAAGGAGACTGGTGGACTTCTGAGACCATTCTGCATAGGGGATGCCATGCAAGTGCTGCATCCTGGCAGCCATTCACCCCTTGCAGGAAGAGAACAAAAACATCAAAACTGGGCTGGAGAGACGGCTCAGTGGTTAAGAACACTGGTTGTTCTTGCAGAAGACCTGGGTTCAAATTCCAGCACCCACATGGCAGCCAACAACTGTCTGTAACTCAAGTTCCAGGGGATCTGACAGCCTCTTCTGACCTCCATGGGCATTGTACAACATGGGTGCACTTACCTACATGCAGGCAA